GTGTGTGTGTGTGTGTGTGTGTGTGTGTGTGTGCGCGTGTGTGTGCGCTCTCCTCTTTGTGCATCATCATCTTTCTCAGGATTCCCACTTTCAGGAGAACTTCACTCAGCGCTCCACAGCAGGGTTTTTTCTCTCTGGGATCGTCAGCAGGCCTCCACCTTTACAACCTGTAAGCAGACGTTCTCTTTAACAAAGGTAACATGTTGGGACTGAATACTTGTGCACAAAACGAGGCTGTTTCACCTCAGAGTTAAACGAACGGTTCCCGATAGCCTTGTTTGTCTCTTTTAACTGTGATTTCTAGAAGAACAGAGTCGAGCGTTTCCCAGGATCCAATGATGAGGAGCGGACTAGACCTGTGCTTTCTCGGCCTGCTGAGCCTCTGCAGCTCTGCGTTCGGGCAGGTAGGAAGAGAAAAATCAGACACTCGATGAAGGGGGCAGAAGACAATGAATAAGTTATTTATTTTGGTATTTATGCACCAGTTTGAAATAGTTGCAATCAATTTTAATATTTAATCCACATTAAACTAAAGCAGCTACCTATTTAGTTATTTATACCATGGAGACAGCAGTCATCTGAATGTAAGGCCATTTGCTAAGATAGTTAATGTTTTGCTAATCCAAAAAAACCTTCAGAAAACAATTGCAGGAAATTTGGAGTTACATTTTTTATGTTTGTTTGTTTGTTTGTTTGTTTGTTTTCCAGGATGCTGCAGAGGTCCAGCACGGCGTCTTAATCTTCTGTGATGACCCGTCAGTAGAGAAGGCCGTCAGCAACGCCCTGAAGACCCTGAACAAAGAGTTGACCACTGGTCACAAACTGGCTCTGTTTCAGATACTGTCAGCCAAAAAGGTGCAGTAAACACAACAACAACAACAACAACAACAACAACAACACAGCTTTCTGCATAAACATCTGCAACAGTGCAGGAGAATCTACAGGATGAGCGTATCATTCAACCTTACTGATCATTTAGCTGCAGGATAAATGTTGTCTTCAAAGATCGAAGCAAAGCTTCGAAAAAACAACCAGGAAATTCTTGGAGAACAAATGTTGACCTTTTGACCTTTGATTTATGAAAATGGTGTGTGTGTGTGTGTGTGTGTGTGTGTGTGTGTGTGTGTGTGTGTGTGTGTGTGTGTGTGCAGTCAGAGAACGGCTCCGACTCGGTGTACGCTCTGGAGTTCACCAGCAGAAAGAGTGATTGTCCAGCGGGGAGCAGCAAACCCTGGTCAGACTGTGACTACCTGCAGCCGGGACACAGGGTAGCAATGAAAATAAAAACCTACAACTGTTCACGCACATTCCTCTGTGACAAACAAACAGAAAAATATAAAACTGCAGTAAAAAAAAACTAAAGCCGATCCAGTAGAAGGTTCAGAAATCACTCCCCTTTTCTCCCCTCCAGGCACCGATTTCATGCAACGCCACGGTCCACGTGACGGAGACAGAAATTGACACTAAACAGGTGCACTGTTTTTTCGGTGAGTGAACGGAGGAGTTTAACATTTTATCACAAGCAAACACCATAAAAAGGATCGCAAGGTGAAAGACAACATTTAAAATAAACYATCTCTTTCTTTGTGTGCAAAATATTAAAATGAAAAAAACAATATTCCTTTAAAATCTGTGTAAAAAATAAAGCTAGATACAGGAAAAACCATCTGGGTGGGTTTTGCAGAGGACTGATCAAATCTTTAATTAAAATTAATAGAAAAATAATACATTTTATTATGTTTCAATTTCTATTTATTTTATTCATAAAACCAAACGGCCTATAAACAAT